AATATAGACTATCTAAAGGTCACTGATGAATTATTAATAGAGAGAAATGGGAGTGTTGGGAGTTTCTCAATTTTCCTATAAGATCCTAATATATATAAGTGACTGTTCTGTATCTAGAGGCATTGCTGCTTCAACTACAAAAAAAGTGATTTATATTAGTCCTCCTAGCCTACACATATATACTTCAGACCATTATTCTATACAACATTGTAAATAATAGCCATAGTTATTCTGACAAGTATTTAAGGGAATTACTGAGGCCTAAAAACATATCATTTATTTAGAAATAATGAAGACACATAGGCACAGTTTATAGTTCACTTTACCATGTAATAGAATTCTGTAACCAGAGCTTTGAATTTTGTGTAATTTAGATACAGTGAACATATGAACACCATTAAAAATAACTTTATGGAAGTCTTAGAGGTACATGCATACAATGTAATAAAGAGGTATGACTATGTTGGGGTTTCCCAGAATGCCAAAAGAATTCAATTATTGTAGTGCCACATCAATTTTAAAAAGATATTATCTGCTTTCCCAACCAACCTAGGGTCAAATTTCATGGTAGTCAAATACTTATTTTTTTATTTAGAAACAATCATTTTACATATAACCCCCCCCCGTTCCCTCTCCCTCCCATTCTTCCATTCCTCCTACAAATCCCCCCAACTCATCCCCACCAATGTCCCAAAGACAGTGAGGCCTTCCATGGGGGAATGATCAAAGACTGTATTATCATTTGCAGGAGGGCCTAGGCCCTCTTCCATGTATCTGTGCTGAAATAGTATCCATCCATAGGGAATGGGCTCCCAAAGTCCATTGTGCACTAGGGATAAATACTGGTTCCATTATTACAGGTTCCATAGACTATCCTGGCATCCCAACTAGCACACACATTCAGAGGATTTTGTTCAGTCCAATGCTGGTTCTCCAGCTTTACGACTGGGGTCCATGTGCTCTCACTAGGTCAGTTCAGCTGGTTCTGTAGGTTTCTGCAGTACAGACTTGTCTCATTTGCTCATCCCTCCTCCCTCTCCACAACTGGATTCCAGGAGTATGGCTCAGCTGTGGGTGCCTGCTTATGCTTGCATCAGGTACTGGATGAAGGCTCTCAGATGGCAATTAAAGTAATCATCAATCTCATTATAGGGTAAGGGCATCAAAGGCAGCCTCTCCACCACTGCCTAGATGCTTAGTTGGGGGGTCATCTTTGTGTATCTCTGAGCATTTCCCCAGTGCCAGATTTCTCTTTAAACCTATATTGGCTCCTTCTATTAAGGTATCTCTTTTCTTGCTCTCCTCTATTCCTCCTCTGTCTCAGTCTTCCTGATCCCTTTTGTTTTCCTCCTCCATCCTCTTCACCCCTTCCCTTTTTCCTTCCTTCCTTCCCTGCTCCCCCCATGCTCCCAGTTTGCTCAGGAGTTCTTGTCCCTTTCCCCTTCTTCGGGGTACCATGTGTTTCTCTCTTATGGTCCCCTTTGTTTCCTAGTTTCTCTAGTAGTATTGATTGTAGGCTGGCAGTCCTTTACTCTGTGTCTAATACCCATATAATCATATACCCAGCTTTTCTATTTCCAGCTGTGTTTTCTTTATGTGTTTCATTCTGTGTTTTCTTTATTGTTTCTACTTCAGCTTTCAAGCCTTGAACTGTTTGAATTGTTTCCTTCACTTGTTTTGGTTGTATTTTCTTGGCTTTCCTTGCTTTCTTTAAGAGATTTGTTTATTTCTTAAATTTTTTGTTTTGTCTTTTCTTTGTTGTTTGTGTCTTTTTTTTGTTGTTTGTGTTTTTTTTTTTTGTGTGTGTGTGTGTGTGTGTGTGTGTGTGTGTGTGTTTGTTTGTTTTCTCTGCCATTTCTTTAAGGGATTTTCTCATTTCCTCTTTGAGGGTCTCTAATATCTTCATAAAGTTGTTTTTATGGTCCTTCTTTTCCACTTCATCCCCATTGGGATGTTCAGATCTTGCTGATGTAAAGTCCCTAGATTCTGGTGGTGTCATATAGGTCTTTCGGTTGTTGAATGTGTTCTTATATTTCCTCGAATGTGTTCTTATACTGTTGTCTTCCCATCCCTTCTTCCAGTGGGTGCAAGTTGGGTCTCTCCCTCTTCCAGTGAGTGTATGTGGGCCAAGACATCAATGTTGGCAACTCTGGTGTTCTCACACAGAGGGCAGAGGGGGGGCCAAGACTCAAGCTCAAGCTCAAGCTGAGAGCGTAGGAGGACCAATACTGTGATTCGGGCATACTAGGGATAGTCCAGGCTTCCAGGGTGGGACCACTACATGCATAGAAGACCCAGGAAGTTCCAAGGAGGGAATGGGGGGAGTTGGGCCTAGGAAGAACCCAGACTCACCTCAACAAGAGGGGTAGGGGGTCCAAGACTTCGATTCGGGCAGACTCCAGAAAGTTCCGACTGCCGGGTTGGGTTTATTACATGCCAAGCAGACCCAGTAATCTCCAGGAAAGGGATCCAAATACTTAATTTTAAAATGGTTGCGAACTACATTTTGTCAGTATCTCAATGTATTCAAAAAATATGCTTGAGGTTGCCAAGCATAGAGTACCATGAGGTGAGCAACCGTACCATTAGCTTAAGATTAGTTTGGATTACAGAGAGACACCTTTTCTCAACCCCCCCCAAAAATTAAACCAAACCAAAAAGTGTTTATTGTAGTCCTGAAAGTTAAACAGCAACAATAATAGCAAGAAATGTACTGGCTTCACAAATGATAAGGTATTTCTGATCCCCACTGGCTTACACATTCAGCTCATCTGCAGTTCCCTGTATCCACACCTAAGCATGGGGACAGTTTGTTCCAAGCCTTCTGGCTGACTCCCCAGAAGAGTGAGCATCAAATAGCTTCTATGGTTTTTCATACAAACAATTTCATTGGTGTTTGCCTTCTTCCTTTTAGGGAATGAACAGTTCCTTCTTGAAGTATTTATGATACTATTTTTCCCTTCAAGGTATATATTAAAAGATAATCTGATTTTACATTATCTCCTTATACTTGAGCCAAAAAATGATGTCACTCACACATTTTCATATTTTTTCTTCTGATTTTCAGTATTTAGATTTTTTGTCCTAGTAGAAGATTAACTGATGATAATAGTAGTAAAGCAATTTGTTTTACTTGAAATAAATGGAAGAAATTCTGAAAGAGCTTTAAGTTTTGTGAAAATAAATATCTTTTTATATAATTATTAATGAAAACAACATTGTCTACTTAAAATCCTATAGGAGTAACATCTGATGGCCAAAGTAAGGTTAAAAAATCAAGTACACACATATAGTCTCAAAAGTCTCTATTTCACCAACAATTCATTTTTTTAATTTCTTTGCTGATTAATATTGTTATTAAGTCAAAATTCAACACAGTATTTATTCTTTGGTTGGAAATGTTCGTGTGTACTTACATTCACTCATTACAAAAAAGACAGGAGAAAATATTTATTTGTAACTCATTACAATTAAAAGAAACTTAGACACAAGATCTTGTCCCCTTCAGATGGCATTCAGGGCTGGAAGGTAAACCCTTGCTTGAAGTTAATATTACCTCTCTGCATCATTGTACAAGTCATCTGTCTGTGCAATACGCATGATGGAAATCTCACTGCCTGTCTTACAATCACTGTAATGCTTTGTTTTCATGGTCTAGAGCCAAAGATTGCAAAATAGAATTACATATGACAAATAGAATTTCCAACTGCCGGGTAAAGTGAGTAAGTCACATAGATGGACCATGTTGGAACCCAGCCTATCGGGTACAGTGATAGGCAAGGACAGCTGTACACTTTCTTGTCTCTCCCATTTCTGTGACCTGTAGTATGAAATATCATCAACAACCAGTGTGATAATTTCCTGAATTTATATTTCATATGTACCCTATAGTATTTAATATTATAAACTTTTTGGAATATGTTAACAACATTGATAGTGTCGTGAAAGTATTTTTATTGCCCTCTTTTTCACATATGTCACAAATTAGTATGTTATTCTATTCAATTTTGGCATTTTTTATTCAGTGAAATGTGAACATTTCCACAAAAAGAAAGTAATTATTTTTTCTATCATCTTTTATCAGTACTGATAGGAATAGGTTTCCATTCTACTTCTGCCTTCCAAATCCTCTGATAAACTAAATTTATGTTTTACTAGTTACCATTTGAATGAGATATTTAATCATGAGAAAGATCAGAGGTTCTTTTTTATTCTACCACACCCTTTCAAGATTGTTTTTTTTTTTTTTGAAAACTCTCTTGAGCAACCTTTTTTTTTTTTTATTAAAAACTCTCTACCCTTTTCAAAGTCCCAAGAGAGATGCAAGAAATTTGCATTTGTTCTTTCAGGAGCATAATTAGTATGAGAATATCACAGAAATATGTCTCAAATACTTTTCAGCAAAGATCCTGTTAAGCCCCACCACTAAAAAAATCAAAAATAGCTAAGAAAAAGCAAGAGATGTACTCTCAAGTTCCACTAGAAATTGTATTCTTATTTTTAACTTCCATTGCTTTTCTTTAAAAAAAATCTGTCTTGATAGCAGCTTGTAATAACTTATGGAACATTCAGTATCATTTCATTTGGCATCCTAGTCATAGCAAATCTTAATTCATAAATTTATTGGGATGGTCTGTCACCAATGGTTCCATCTAAGTCACTCACTCAGAGTTGGGGAACCATTTGCAGTCCCTAAATGGAATTGGAATGACAAATGCTTAACTGAGGACAAAGTTTAAATTGTCTGAAACTCAGACTTAAAGCCCTTACTGAAGATTGCCATCTGGTGAAAAGCCACTCAACTTGTGAGAAGCCAACTGTATGGTCTCCACTCATGAGTCAGAGGAACCACAATCTTCAGCAGAGTCTTTTGGCTGTCTCCTTGCACAGAGTTCATGAACCATCTGTTCTGATTCCCTTGCTTCCTGTTGTTCACCTGGTGATGGTGGTGACTGACATCCTGTCTTGTGACAGCTGTGATGTGAGTAGTGAAACCACAATTCTGTTGATGTGGTAGGTGAATTCCAAGGATTGGGTAGTAGACCTCAGCCGATCTATTTTGGAGAATCTTGAACTCAGAAGTCTTCAGAAATTGGAGAAGAGCTGTTGTTGCAGAGTGAGTAAATTCCAGTGACTCTTTTGCCTATTGTGATCTCATAGGGTTAATTATGCAAAGGTATCTTTCTGAACTCTGGGAAATCAAGTTTTTATTAATGATTAGATCCCCATTCAATCCTAAGATGTTAGAACAACCCCCTCTAGCCTTTTCTATCATTGCTGCTGAGATCTGAGAATTTCCATTGGTTGCCTAAAAACTTTCACCATTTCCATTCCTCTACTGCTTCTCAAAGCCTGAAAATCAGCATTAAGAACTTAAGTGTTTTACATACAGTATTAGTATCTGAACATGGAATTATTCATGATTCTTTACACCATCAGTATTTGTAAACTTATTATTCTTCCCACATCATCTTTTCTTTGAACACCAGCCTGTTAGGGGTAAATGCATATTCCCATGTTGTTTTTAGATAATGTGGGAAATTACCAATACGGAGCCAGGTAAAAATACAAGGGATTTTAATAGGGAAAAGCCTTACTTACAGAGCAACCAAGCCAGCCGGCAGGGCAGCAGTCTGTACAGCAAGCCGGAAACAAAACCAAAAACAGAAACCCGCCACCAGAACGTTCCTCACTCTACATCCCCTGACCATGCCCTCTCAGGCATGGTCAGACACACCTGTAGCCAGCCCCTAAGCAGGCATGGCTACAGCATATCCTACAAAATACTGTGGTGTTTTATATTTTATTGTAATTTATAGCCACTTTGCATAATAAAATTCAGGTAAAAAGTTGATACTTATAAGTCAATATTATGTACCTAAAATAAAGAGCAGTGTCTAATTCTAAGATTTCAGCGCCTATCTTCACTCTGAGGAGGGCGTCTTTCCAAATTTGTTAAGTAGACATAAAAGAGCTGTGTGGAAATGGAAGTTAGCATTTCAATAGATAAAATGAGTCATTTGGCTTTCTATAATTCTAGTTATATATGAAAGGACTGAATGTGTGCCTATCACAAGGAAGTCATGACTTAAAGATGATTTCTGTCCATGGGAGAAATTGGTCATGAAAAGGTTGTAAGTTGAAGTCAAAGAGTGTGTGGTGAAATGTACAAAGGATGATTCAGGTGATACCTTTAAATAAAGCAAGATAATTGATGTGTCAGATGAGTAAGTTCAAAGCTCAACAACTTACTTTTGCTCATACATGCAAAGTAAGCACAGACACCCAGCCCTCACCATTTGCACATGGGTCAACAACTTCCCATTCTACAGAGCATGTGTTTTTGTTTTGCTTTTGGGTATGCTTCACTTTTCACCACTGAAAATAAATTTTATTAGACTTGCCAGACACAGTTCATGCTCTTGTGTTACTATACATAATTCATGGTTTCCTGTTAGGCCACAGCAGTGGAGAAGGTGCAGATTTTGAAACTCTAGACAGAGTAGACAGATTAAGACATATTTTCTGAATCAAATATTTTCTATTAGTGTGGTTACTTTAATACATTAGAAAACATTTTGTTCCATAAATCAACGCTAACTTTTGAATCTAACTCTGTTTTGTAAATTATTTTCTCCTTAACTCAGTATAGACACTGGGAGACTCAATGCCAAATCATTAGAGGACACCTATGTTTGATAAGAGCTGCTTTTTTATCAGCAATTTTCTGGTTAGCCAAGTTCTTAATGGTCTTTTAAGACCTTTTCTCCCATCCATCCCTTCTTTTAGCACATTATCAAAGAGTACTAAGTGAAAGAGCTTTTCCCCTTTCAATAGTTAAATTTTGTTGGTTTAAGTCAAAAGTCATATATCTGTATGCTATATTGATATTCTAAATCCAGAAAACAGGATCTGTTCTCTTCCTGAATTCTATGTTCCTAATGAAGAGCCACCAGTGTGTTGTAGAAAGCAGGAAAGACTCCTGGAAACATCTCAGTAGTCTGCCATAGGATTCTTGCATCTATCTATTCAGTAGCCAAGTTGTCAGTGGAGGTTTCATATAGTGCTAGACTCTGGATAAATGAATAACTGAAGGAGGCATGGTCCATGCTCTAATAATCACATAGTATAGAAATGAGGTGTACATAATGAGATTTTCTTATGACACATCCTTAATCCAGCAAAAATGAATGTGTTGGTATAAAAAAAGCAATTGATATTTTTCCAAGTGGACTTCAAGCCTGGCTTGCAGCCAACTAGCACTAAACCAGAATTTTCATCTTATGAATAACAATTGTAGTTTGCAAATTGTGAATCATAGACCATTCCGACCCCGAAAATAAGAGCTAGTAATTCATACTGTTTTCCAAAGGGGTGGGTGGTATTAACAAACTGTAAACACTTTCAAAATCATTCATGTTGGACTCATATGCATTTCAGTTGCTACTTTTCTCATAGTGTAGAAAAATGATATTAACAAATTGAAAAATGTCTCAATACAACTGAAATGCAATTTTTATTTAAATCTGTATTCAAGTCTAAGGATGAGTTCCTCTATCTCAACAGACTGATAGGTCCTTGCTTAGAACAGGGTCCCCCAACCCTGGTCACCCTCTTAAGTTTCTTCCATGCTTATATCTCTTGTAACTAAAACACCTTCACTGTTGGTATCTGCAAATTAAAGTAGAGGAGACTCTCCACTTTCCAGTCACCTGAAGACACAGGTGTAGTGTAGATAGTTCGGTGTGGAATGGCATGTCAACACATGCATGTTTTAACTTGGTAACGTTTACAGATTGAGGATGTGTTATCCATCCCAAACAAACCCAAGACTTCTTTATTCTGTCTTCCTGCATGTCAAAGCTGCCTGGGATGATTTGTGATTATTATCATCCACCAGCAAAGAACAACAGCAAACCTGATTCCACAAAAGGCTTTTGCCACCTCAGTTCCAACTCCTTGGTGATCTTTCTGTAGGTTTTCTGTGGCAGATCTCACTACAACCAAGTAAGACTAGATATGTGGAAATTTATCTTCAGGTATTTCATACCACTTCCTTTTCTGTGACAAAGATAAGATTCACCCAGACAAGCCAAAGTCTGGCTCAACTTTCATCCCAAGGCTACAATATAATCTGAACATGAATGTGTCACATCCAAACCTGGATGACTTCAGTTCAGTTAGAGAAGAATTGAGATGCATTGAGGTGGAGACTGGGGGAGAGGAGGTAGAGGGATAAAGTGTCAGAGGCTTGATTGGCTGGACATAAATGAAAAATAAAGAGTAAAAATGACTACAAAATAATATTGCAGAGTAACATTTTGATAAAAGCAAAGCAGCATTCACATATACCCACTGAAAGAAGGTTTATTAATGAAATTAATGGCTTTGTGGCTAAAGAATTAGCTCACTATATTTGTATCCCAAGGTATTTCAAGACTTGTGTGAGTGTGAAAACACATGAATGTGTTAAGAAAAATTCTCTCTTAGTAATCTCTCATTGGTTATAAAAACATCATCCTATACTTAATGATGGCAGGAATTTAAGTTACGAGCATGATATAGCCACAGAGTGTTCTCTTCTGAGTGTGCAGTCCTCCTCAAAACAAACATGGCTCAGTAAATGGGTATAAATGGCTAGTTCTATCCGTGTGATAAAATTATGTCTGACATCTGTTTAAAAGGAGCATGTTGTGCTTCAAAGATAAAGACAAGCCTCAATATTGAACGAAACAGAATCTGGAGGGCAAAACCCTTGTGCAAATGTGCCAGATCCCAGCACCATTCCCCAGGTTTGTTAGCTGTTACTGCCCCTTTTATCTGGATCCTGTTAACTTCCAATTTGTTCTTAGCTCATGGAAAAGGTTTCCTTTTGTTTTTCTCCTCTAGATAGGAAAAGTCTCTTGGCAGAGTTCTTCAAAGGCAGTTTAGTCAGTAGCATCATGGAAATTTGGCAGAGAGTAAAGTACTAAGGCAGATTAAACATTAGTTTAGATTATTCTTGAAGGCAATTGCTCCATGATTTTTCATCCCTTAATTTTAGTAGTTAGCATAGTCACTCATATCTGTCCTTCCTAAAGTGAACCTGCTAGCCCATTTTTATAATTGTGCAGTCAACTCAATGAAATTTGAATTTAAATTGGATATATAAACACAGAAAAACATGAATAAATCATCCAAATACCTTCTGAATTGTTCAGTTTATGCCTCTTAAGGTTAATACAAAATCTTAAATTCAGACCTTTTATTATATTAAGAAATTGAACAAGTGGATTACTTTGTTATACTTCATCTCTGATAATTTTGTTCCTTTGCCTTTTAAATCATTTTTAATTACTTTGAGTAGTGCCAAGGTGCATGTTCATGCTAATCTATTCTAACTAAAAGTGGGAACTAACTTCATATATCTAATATAAAAAAGTGAATGTTTGCTCTAGTCCCTTTATCCACCTTAAATTGTTTAGATTACTTAAGAAGTTGGTCTAGAAAGCCTTCAGACCCAGTTTTTAAATACTGTTTTATAGGTTAACAATCTTGAAGCTGAATTATGCTGCACTTTGCACTTTGGAAGGTGTTGTGGAATATTACTTTAACTATGTAAAGATGTGTTACATTTGTTTATACTGCATTTGTTTAATGGTGTAAAGATGTTTTGTTTTCCTTTCCTAAGGCACCTGGTTGATCTAATAAAAAGCTAAACAGCCAATAGTTAAGCAGTAGAGGGATAGGCAGGCCTAGCAGACAGAGTATAAGTAAGAGGAGGAATCTAGGAGAAAAAGAGAGAACAGATAAGAGAACAAGCGAGAAAGAGAGGAAGATGCCCAGGGGACAGACACCAGATGGACAGACACAGAATAGGACATACATAATGAAAGAAAGGTAAAAGGTCTTGAGGCAAAATTTAGATGAAGAGAAAAGGTTAATTTAAGTTACAAGAGCTAGAGGAACAAGCATAAGATAAGGACAGCCAATCATAATTAATAATAAGTCTCTGTGTCATATTGGGAACTGATTGGAGGCCCCAAAGAAAGTATGCTACAGGAACCACTGTGACACACCATAGTAACATAAAATTGCATCTTCTGTAGTTATTATTTTCCAAGTGTACTATACAAA